AGAAGAGGAGGCTGAGGGGAGACCTTATTGCTCTCTACAACTACCTGAAAGGAGGTTGTAGTGAGGCAGGTGTTGGTCTCTTCTCCCAAGTAACCAGTGATAGGACAAGAGGCAATGGCCGCAAGTTGTGTCAGAGTTTTAGATTGGATATTAGGAAAAATTTCTTTACTGAAAGAGTGGTCAGGCATTGGAACAGGCTGCCCAGAGAAGTGGTGGAGTCACCATCCCTGGAGGTGTTCGAAAAACTTATAGATATGGCACTTCAGGACATGATTTAGCATGCATGGTGGTGTTGGGTTGAAGGTTGGACATGATGATCTTGGAGATCTTTTCCAACCTTAATGATTCTATGATTCCAACTCGGGAGGCAAACTGGGAGAACAGCAGGACAGAAATAGGAAATAAATTATTACTTGCAATCAACATGCTCTGCCACATTTTATATACCAGTATACATTTCTTTTAGTAATGTAGAGAAGTACACTGTAAAAAAATATTTGAGCAAGTTTTGTAAAAAAATTAGCTCATGTGAAAAACTGTTTATCACTAATAATTTATATGAAATCAACCATAGCTTATTATGTACTTGATTATGCCAATGACTATTAAAGATTACATACATACCTGAGAGCCAGAAACCCCAGATGACTGCATATAATACTGTTGGTTTTGTAGTTTTGCATACATAGAATACATTGGGTCTTCATTCATCAATTTATTATACAAAGAAAGAGCCTCCATTGCTTTAACATTGAGCTCTGAAAGTTCTGAATGTTTCCTAGAAAATATATTTTACAGCTTACTCTACAATTTAGATCACTTCAGTACAGAACAGACAATACAGGCAAACTTTCATGATGTGTGATAAGCAACATACTCTTAGTGCCTGTGAAGTGATGCCTGACAAGTGCCATAATGTCAAACGGTACAATACTATAAAATATTATGTGACTAGGAAAAAAACCCTTCAGACCTCCCCTCAGATGAGAAGCTATTAATAAACACACCTATTTTCTTTGCCAGTATTCACAGAAATGTTTAAGATATCATTAAGTAATAACAACGGTCCTTCTAAGAATGAATCTTAATTTGATTTAAAACACATGTACTTTTTTACCTGTCTATATCTTCCAACTTTTCATCTATGAGAGGTCCCATCTGGTGGCACATTGCTAGAATAGAAGGATATTAAAATATATCAGAATAATAAAAAGATTTCCATACTGCAAGTCAGAAAGTAGTTTCTAAAAAATTTGAGTTTGTCAAATGTAAAATAAACAGACAAGGAAGCTGAAAAGGGAGACTACAGTCTAACCCTCCTCCAGAATGCAAAATGTGCCCACTTATCCAAGCAATGAATTATTTACTCATCAAGAGATGTGTTTAATCCCAAGAGCCACTCAACGTTCAAACTGAAACACGGGTAAAAAAAAAAAAATTCAGGCATCAAAGATGACCTAAATGCATTATAAGCAGCTCTGGAACACTTGTCTTCACTCCCATTTTTCCCCAGTTACAGACACAGAAGGTCCTGAAAGCCTCTGGGCCACGATGGGTGAAAGGGCATCATTGATGTGTTCCTTGAAGGCAACTCCAGGTGAAAGAGGAGTTGTATGAGAGGCACCCACCTGCTTCTTTGAACCTGGGAACAGCAACACATTGGCAGAAATGCCGGAAAAAGATGTAAAACCTGGTGTAAGTTCTGCCTATTAGTCTGCCTATAAGTCTCCTTTAGTCTGGGGAAGAGGAGAGGCTGAGGGGGGCCTTATTGCTCTCTACAACTGTCTGAAAGGAGGTTGTAGTGAGGCAGGTGTTGGTCTCTTCTCCCAACTATCTAGCGACAGAACAAGAGGCAATGGCCTCAAGTTGCATCAGGGGAGGTTTAGATTAGATATTAGGAAAAAATTCTTTACTGAAAGAGTGGTCAGGCATTGGAACAGGCTGCCCAGGGAGGTGGTTTTGTCACCATCCCTGGAGGTGTTCAAAAAACGTGTAGATGTGGCACTTCAGGATATGGTTTAGTAGGAATGGTGGTATTGGGTGGCTGGTTGGACTTGATGATCTTAGAGGTCTTTTCCAGCCTATGATTCTATGATTATCTACAACACAAAGTGTGGTAAAAAGCATGACAATGACTGCTTAGATGTCTGCATGCTAACACGATGACCGCACTGCTGCCAACCACAAACCCCAGGCTTCTGAAAGTGCTGGGTTGAGCTCCCAATTTAAAAAAAATTGTGACTGGACATCTGAATGGTAGACGAAAATGAAGTGGGTTTTCGTCAAATGTTGATCAGCACCTGCCACCACTGGCAGGAACCCAAGATCCAACACATATCTACAACAAGATTCCCAGAAACTATGCCAAAAATAGTAGCTACCCAAGGCCTACCTGAGTGTACAGCAAGTACAGTCTTGAATACGGCGCTGTAGAATAATACACAGCCATATGTTTGGCAAGCGCTCTTGTAGGTAGCTGGTGAGGGATCATCTGACTACACTACAGCTTTCAGATTCTAGGACTAGTCCCACGGCTTAATATAAACTTCAGCATTGTTCTAATGATCTCACAATGCATTTTGAAAGGACATCCTAAAGTAAGCCGTATCTGGAGATATGTGCAAGCATACCTTTAATTTCTTTGCCTCTGTCCTGGACCAGATATAGACAATCTGCTTCTTAGATAGCAGCCTCTGTAACTATATTTGCTACTTGAACGAATAAAAACATTCATGTTTCTTTTTACTCTCCTTTAGCTTTAGTAGAATACGTGCAGACACGTCACTGATGTGCAGTTCCCAAAACAGGATTCATTTATAGGTATGATGAACCATATGGGTGTGGAAACATGGGAGATATCCAAAAGCTTACAGCTTAGGTACTTTTTCCTGATTAACTTCTACAGAGATCTGGAATCTGCCATTTTCTTAACAAAGTCTGGTCCTATCTGAATCATCAGTTTAAGCCAATGTTCTGTCTCATACCGAGCAAGTTTCTTTACTTCCTTCTCCAAAGCACCCTTCCAAAATTTTTGCTGCATCTATCAACCCAGGTAGAATGGTCTATATAATGCCTCTTTGAAGAGGTAGTCTGAATAATTTGAGTCTAAAGGACTAGTCTGATTTGTAGCACTCTATATGGTATTTATCATAGAATCATAGAAAGTTTTGGGTTGGAAGGGACCCCTAGAGGTCATCTAGTCCAACCCCTCTGCAGTGAGCAGGGACATCACTAACTAGATCAGGTTGCTCAGAGCCCTGTCGAACCTGTTCTTGAATGTTTCCAGGGATGGGGCCTCCACTACCTCTCTGGGCAACCCGTTCCAGTGTTTCATCACCCTCATTGTAAAGAATTTCTTCCTTATATCCAGCCTAAACCTACCCTGTTTTAGTTTAAAACCATTCCCCCTCATCCTGTCACTGCTGTCTCTACTGAAAAGATTGTCCCCATCTTTCCTATAGGCTCCCTTTAAGTACTGAAAGGCTGCAATCAGGTCTCCC